AAGATAATGGTTTCTTTCATAAAACGGTCACTCTAGAGGGGGACTAGAATCCCCTTCCCCTTTTTTTTGTTCTTTTAAAATGAAGAATGGAAGTTTCTCTAAACAAGGCTTAAGACGTTGCAGCCTTTTCAACATAATTCCAGGCAAACTTGAGGTTTGTTTTTTGCTCCCCTCTCACTTCAAATTCAAATTAAGCCATTGGAAATAACAAGCATTCCATATCTATGCATTTGGGGCAGCTGCAGTTCTGACAATGGTGGATTTTCCACTACACCCCCCCCACACACACACACACACACGCACGAGCTCACAATCCCAGTACTCATTTAAGTCAAATCCTTAAAAGTAAACTATTGTCCAGGAGACGATAGCATTTTCTCTTAGAGGATTCTCGGTCGTAGAGAATAAAGCCTATGCACATCTCTTACCTTGAAGCAGCGGAGTCACCTGCAGAGGCTGTCCCCCTTCCTTGCACAACGAACCAGGCTTTGACCGGCAGCAGAATTACTCCAGAAGGAGGAATAATAAGTCCCTTATATTGTAATTTGTACTGTTTATATGCAAGAAGTGTAGTGGGTCTGCTCACGTAGGAATAAATAAAAAGCCGAACAAACTGCACGGCAGCTACCATGTGAAAAGAAAAGACCTCTAGTGGCCACAGGCTGAATTTTTTAAGGAAGGGAGAGGAGACTGAGGGAGTAGAGCGAACGCGCTCGTACACACACGCACACACACGGGCACACACGCCTGCACATGCACACACCCCTGTGCCTCTCAAACTTTCTGGGGTTTTTTTTGCATTTGGCCTGGCCAAATGTATAAACAGTAATAATGCTCATTTCTTGCTTTAAGTGAGACCCGGTTAAGTTCACGGTGATGGTGGTGTTCTGTCTGGTTTGAAAGGGATCATTTCACAAACTCATTACCACCCCCTGGGGGCCTGAGCTGGAGAGAGGATTTCACTCTCTGGATCTTCAAGGAGGTGCCGCCTGGTGTACAAGCTGCAGGTTCCCATCAACAAAGTGTCATCAGCCATTGCTCCCGACAGTCCCTGCTTGGCACTCTCTGCCAGATTTGCATGTTTCCTAAGCATTTATGGCATGCCAGTGTGGTGGTGCTGGCAGGCGGGGCCAGCTTCCTGGGCGTGTGGACCGTGTAGTCAGTCGTCTGGGGCCCCTTATCAGAAGAGCCCCTGTGGCTGTTTTGAAATTCTGAATAATTTTAAACAGGGGCCCTGCATTTTCATTTTGTTCTGGGCCCCACAAATTACATAGCTGGTCTTGCTGATGTGAAACTCACTATTCCTAACTTCCTCATTGAAAAGAACCTAGAAGAAAATAAGAATCCATGTCTTTGGGAGCTACTTTGGGGAATGCAAGCTTGGAGAACATTCAGTTTCCCAAAAGACAAACCTGGGAGGATCTACACACACACACACACACACACACACACACACACACACACACACACAGGCATACTCATTTTATTGCACTTCACAGATACTCTGTTTTTAACAAATGGAAAGTTTGTGGCAACCCTGCCTTGAGCCAGTCAGTTGGTACCATTTTTCCAATAGCACTTGCTCACTTCCTGTCTCTGTTTCACATTTTGGTAATTCTTGCAGCATTTCAAAATTTTCATTATTATTATATCGGTGATGGTGATCTGTGGTCAGTGATCTTTGATGATACTGCTGTAATTTTTCTGGGGTACCATGAACCATGCCCAGGTAAGACGACAGACTTCATTGGTAAATGTTGTGTGCATTCTCGCTGCTCTGGGAACAGACGTTCCCCCAGCTCTCTCCCTCTCCTCGGGGCTCCCTCTTCCCCGAGACACAACAGCATTGCAGTTAAGCCAATTAATAACCATACAGTGGCCTCTAGGTGTTCAAGTGAAAGGAAGACTTATTCAGCAAAACACATACTTTCATTGGTTAAAAAAAAAAAAAAAGGAAGACTTACACATCTTTCATTTTAAATCAAAAGCTTAGCAAGAAACGGGTGTCAAAAGTGGAGATAGGCCAAAAGCTAGGCCTCGTGTACCAGTTAGCCAAATTGTGAATGCAAAGGAAAAGATCTTGAAGGAAATTAAACATGCTAATCTAGTGACCACAGAAATGATAAGAAAGTGAAACAGTTTTATTGCTGATATGGAGAAAGTCTGAGTGGTCTGGATCAAACCAGCCACAATATTCACTTAAGCCAAAGCCTAATCCAGAGCAAGGCTCTAACTCTCATCAGTTCTATGAAAGCTGAAAGAGGTGAGGACGCTGCAGAAGAAAAGTTGGAAGCTAGCAGAGGTTCATATGGCTGTCTCCATAATAACAGTGCAAGGTGAAGAGGCAAGTGCTGATGTAGAAGCAGCAGGAAGTCATCCGAAAGATCTAGCCAAGATCATTAACGAAGGTGGCTATTTTAAATAGCAGATTTTCAGTGTAGATGACACAGATCTATTAGAAGAATATCCCATCTGGGAATTTCATAGCTAGACAGGACAGGTCATAGCCTGGCTTCAAAGAGCAGGCCGACTCTCTTATTAAGGAATAATGCAGCTGGTGACTTTAGGTTGAAACCAATGCTCATTTACCATTTTGAAAATCTTAAGAGCCTTTAGAATTATGCTAAATTGACTCTTCCTGTGCTCTACAAATGGAACAACAAAGCCTGGGTGACAGCATATCTGTTTATAGCATGGTTTACTTAATATTTTAAGCTCACTGTTAAGACCTACTGCTCAGAAAAAAAAAAAAAAAAGATGCGTTTCAAAATATTATGGCTCATTGACAATGCACCTGGTCAGCTAAGAGCTCTGATGGAGGTGTACAAGAAGATTAATGTTTTCATGCCTGCCAACACAAAACATCTATTCTTCAGCCTGTGGATCAAGGAGTAATCTAAACTTTCAAGTCTTATGATTTAAGAGACACATTTTGTAAGGCTACAGTTACCATAGATAGTGATTCTTTGGATGGATCTGGGCAAATTACATTGAAAACCTTCTGGAAAGGATTCACTATTTTAGATACTGTTAAGGACATTTGTGATTCATGGGAAAAGATCAAAATATCAACATTAATAGGAGTTTGGAAGAAATTGATTCCAACCCTCACAGATCACTCTGAGGGGCTCAAGACTCCAGTGGAGGAAGTCACTGCAGAAGTGGTGGAAATAGCAAAATAACTGACACTACACGTGGAGCCTGAACTTGTGACTGAATTGCCATAATCTCATAACATTTGAACGGACGGAGAGTTGCGTTTCCTGGATGAGCAAAGAAAGTGGTTTTTCGAAATGAAATCTACTCCTGGTGAAGATGCTGTGAACATTGTTGAAATGACAACAAAGGATTTAGAATATTCCATAAACTTAGTTGATAAAGCAGCAGCAGCAGCATTTGAGAGGATTGACTCCAGTTTTAAAAGAAGTTCTACTATAGGTAAAATGCTATCAAACAGCATCACATGTTGCAGGGAAATCTTTTGGGAAAGGAAGAATCAATTGATGCGGCAAACTTCATTGTTGCCTTATTGCAAGAAAGTGCCACAGACACCCGGCCTTTAGCAGCCAACACCCCGGTCAGCAGCCAGCAATATCGAAGCAAGACCCTCCACCAGCAAAAAGATTATAACTTGCTGAAGGCTCAGATGATCATTAGCATTTTTAAGCAATACAGTATGTTTAATTAAGGTAGTACATTTTTTTAAACATAATGCTATTGCACACTTAATAGACTACCGTATGGTGTAAACATAACTTTTATATGCACTGGGAAACCAACAAATTTGTGTGACTGGCTTTATTGCAATATTCACTTTATTATAGTGGTCTGGAACCAAACCTGTAATATCTGCAAAGTATGCCTGTGTATATTTTATATTTGTTATATATTTTTAACAAAAGATAACCTTTTTAAAAAAACAAACAAAGGCTGTAGATTCTAGTACTCCACAAGCCTGCCTTGGACTGGGCCACAGTGGATCTGTTTTCGGCCACAATGGCAGCCCCAGGGAAATGGTGCAGGAGACAGCTGAGAATGGCTTCTCCCCTGGTGGATTCGTGGCCAGTGCTTCCTTTACCAGGTTCCAGAATAGATCTCCCTAAATGCTGTTTGCAGATGTTAGTGCAAACAGAAAACCCACCCTGATATGGGCTCATAAAATCTGGGAGAAAGCAGAAAAGGCTGTGCTGGTGTCTGCTGGTGCACAAAAGGGTGTGGTGCTCGTATCTCTGCTCCCCGGGGCTCCTCTCCGAGTCCCCACCTTCATTTCCTTATTGTTTGAGTTTTTCTGGCACTTAGTCTGCCTTGCAGATGAACGGTCTTATTACTTTTTCCTCCATGGACATTAATCTTGTTTCCCAACTAGATTATAAACTCACAAAGAGCAAGGGCCATCTCTTCTCATTTCTTTTATCCCATACTGCCCTTAACAAGTGCCAGGCCCAGTAGGTGGTGGGTTCTCACTGGCTGATTCATGGTGATCCAACAAATGATCCCTCTGCAGAGAACTTTGGTGCGTTTTAAGGTGATATAGGAACCGTTTGATTCTTTTGATAATCTTCTTGGGGCAGCTATGGGTGGATTATTGTCCCATTTGACAGGTGAAACGATTGGAGCTTATCCATGTAAAATTATTTATCAGAAAATGAAACTCTCTCCAGGATCTTGATATAGGCTGGGTCTCCAGACACCAGTACAGGGCTCTTTCCCCCATGCACAAGCATCCGGATAGAAAATGGATCAAGTCTTATGTCTGGAGCTCCTATTACGGTCATAGGCATATAATAGTTAATCGATGAATGAGCCATATGGAAAGCGTTCCTCATAGGGAAATCTCCCGTGCTGGTCTGGCAAGGAGAGATTCTCCATCCCTGGAGGAGCTTTGTGTCCCGGGCTGGGATGGTTGGGTGTTTTTCCAGTGTGAAGTCAAGAAAATGGAGATGGTGAATCTTATGGTGCTCTCTCTGCTGTTTCATGGTATTTTTCTTCATGTCTTATAGAGTCACTTTGTGGCATGTATGACAGCCATCCTAAACCAGATGGGTGACCAGCACTACTCCTTCTATATTGAGACGTTCCAGACCAACTCTGAACTTGTGGTAAGTCTGCAGGGTGCTGGGGTTGGGGAAGAACTAGTGGTTCTCAAGAGTTTAGGGCAAGAAGGTCCCCCCATAGGTATCGTGTGTGTGTGTGTGTGTGTGTGTGTGTGTGTGTTTCAGGTTACAGATGTGCATGTCTCATATCCTGTTTCTTGTATTTCTCACGTTTTCATTCCATGTCAGAGACAAGACCTGAATGTCTACCATATAATCTAGATGTGCTTTAACCAATATTTGTTGAATCACAGACATTTTGGAGCTTAAGAGCATGATTGATGGAGTCACACAGTCTTAGATTTGAATCCTCTCATAGGCCTCAGTTTCCCCATCTGTAAAGTGGGGATAATATCATGTATGTCACAGGGTTTAGAAGGGGTTACATGAGAGCACGGTAGTTCTCACATAGTAAGTGCTCAGTAAAAGATAGCTGTTGTTATATTAAGATCACAAATGCATAGAAGTTGGCCTCTGAGCCTGCTTCTTCCAGCTTCTAAGGACACAGGTGACATCAAGGATGGGTAATAATGCTCAGCATTTTCATCATCAAGCATGTGATGAGCATTTATAAGGGCCAGGCTCTGTACTTGGCATCTGGGCACAGTACGCACCTAGTCCTCACAGTAGTCCTTGGAGGTGGATATGGTCCCCATTCTGCTGATAGGAAACTGGGAGGGAGAGTAATTTCCCCTAGAAACAAAGACTGCTGGAAAGGAACAAATGCCATTTCCAGAATTCTGCAATTCAGCTTAAAGCAGTGATTTTCAAATTATGTTCCTCATAGCGTCACTATCAGCCAACACACACACACACACACACACACACACACACATACACAGAGAATTCATCCAGAGCTGTTCTACTTTTACGTATTTTATATGTTGGGTTCTGGGTGAGATTTTATTTGGACAAAGTAATCGCTGTTAAGATAATTTGAGCACTATTGACTCCAGTAGTACTGTGGTGTGTGTGTGTGTGTTTGTGTGTGTTTAAGGTTTACAAATGGCATGTTTTCTATCCTGTCTGTATTTCTCAGCGTTTTCATTCCCATGTCAGAAGACAAGACTGATGCTACCCATTATCATCAATTTGCTTTAACGAATATTGTTGGGGGAATCACCAGACATCTTGGGCTAAAGAGCATGATTTGATGGATCCACACAGGTCTTAGATTTGAATCCTCTCATAAGGCCTCAAAGTTTCCGCTCTGTTAAATGGGAGTAATTGTCGATGTATGGTCACAGGTTAGAAGGTACATGAGAGCATGGGGTAGTTCTCACATAGTAATTGCTCACGTAAAGAGACTGGTTATATTAAGATCGCACAAATGGCATAGGAGTTGGCTCTGAGCCCTGTTGCTTCCGCTTCTAAGACACATTTGCCTACAGGACCGCCTGCCTGTCGGCCGTATAGTTGCAGCCTTGTGGCTCCTGTCTCTGCAAACAGATGACTCCTCAAACACAGGACCCCCACCCAAGCCTGTTCCTGTCCTGGGGCTTGTGCAAATACCCTTTGCCCTTGGCACGGTCACCTTTGTCCCACTGTCTCCTACTACTGGGCAGATTAGGAGTCCTACTGCCCTAGTCACTCTCCAATGCTCCTTGGAGGACCAAGGCACCAGATTGACACTTGAGAGATGGCCCCATGAAAGGAATCATTAGAAACCAATTGCCCTGCAACCCTTCATCACCAACAGTAAGGTGTTTTCCCACTGGGTTAAGATTGCAGGTACATGAAACCTTCCCACCCACCCCCCAAGTTGTCCCACGTCTCCGGAACATGGAACAGAAAACTGGTCCTAATTTCGTTCCTATGGAAGCGAAAGGTTTCTGGCAAGAAGGCAGGAAAGGGATTTCTTGTTTGTTACAGACACATTTTTTTTATGTAGCCTCAACAGTGAACATAGTTTGGAGTAGTCTTGCATCTGCCAATCTGCTGCTCAAACCCCATAGTGTAAGTGGCAGAGTAGGATTTTGAACCTTTGGATAACCTACCCTTACTTACATTGTGCTGACTCCTCCTTAGAGCCATGTTTTTCTCTATGAGCGATGAATGGCATTCTCCATCCCACCGGAAGATGTTCTGTGAGATTTAGCCCGGTTCCCCATGTTAAAAAAAAAAAGATTGCGTTTAAAATATTATGGCTCAATTGGACAATGCATCTGGTAGCTAAGAAGCTTTCTGGATGGGGTGTCAAGAAGATTTAATGTTTTCAATGCCTGCCAAAACCACAAAAACATCTATTCTTCAGCCTGTGATCAAGGAGTAACTAAACTTTCAAGGTCTTATGATTTAAAGAGACACATTTTGTAAGGCTACAGTTACCATAGATAGTGATCCTTGGATGGATCTGGGCAAATTACATTGAAAACCTTCTGGAAAGGAATTCACTATTTTAGATCTGTTCAAGACATTTGGTGATTCATGGGAAAAGATCAAGAATATCAACATTAAATAGGAGTTTGGAAGAAATTGATTCCAACCTCACAGATCACTCTGAGGGCTCAAGGACTCCGTGGAGGAAGTCACTGCAGAAGTGGTGGAAAATTTAGCAAAATAACTGACACGTGGAGGCCCTGAACTTGTTGGACGGAATTGGCCATAATCTCATAACATTGAGATGGATGGAGAGTTGCGTTTCCTGGATGAGCAAGAGAAAGTGGTTTTTCGAAATGAAATCTAACTCCTCGTGGTGAAGATGCTGTTAACATTGTTGAAATGACAAAAAAGAATTTAGATATTCCATAAACTTAGTTGATAAAGCAGCAGGCAGCAGCATTTGAGAGGATTGACTCCAGTTTTAAAAGAAGTTCTATATAGGTAAAATGCTATCAAACAGCATCACATGTTGCAGGAAATCTTGGGAAAGGAAGGATCATTGTGCGGCAAACTTCATTGTTGCCCTTATTGCAAAGGAAAAGGCCACAGCACCCGACCTTTAGCAACACCAACCACCCCGGTCAGCAGCCAGCAATATCGAAGCAAGAACCCCTCCCACCAGCAAAAAAGATATAACTGCTGAAGGCTCAGATGATCATTAGCATTTTTAGGCCAATTACGTATGTTTAATTAAGGTAGTACATTTTTAAAAACATAATGCTATTGCACAGTTTAATAGACTACCGTATGTGGTGAAACATAAACTTTATATGCACTGGGAAACCGGCAAATTTGTGTGACTGCTTTATTGCATAATTCACTTTATTATAGTGGTCTGGAAACCAAACCTGTAATATCTACAAAGTATGCCTGTATTATTTATATTATATATTTTACAAAAGATAACCTTTTAAAAAAACAAACAAAGGCTGTAGATTCTAGTACCTCCACAAAGCCTGCTTGGACTGGGCCACAGTGGATCTGTTTTTCGGCCACAATGGCAGCCCCAGGAAAATGGTGCAGGAGACAGCTGATGAATGGCTCTCCCCTTGGGGATTCGTTGGCCAGTGCTTCTTACCAAGGTCCAGAATAGATCTCCAAATGCTGTTGCAGATGTTAGTGCAAACAGAAAACCCACCCTGATAATGGGTCATAAAACCTGGGAGAAAGCAGAAAAGCTGTGCTGGTGTCTGCTGGTGCACAAAAGGTGTGGTGCTCGTATCTCTGGCTCCCCGGGGCTCCTCTCCGAGTCCCCACCTTCATTTCCTTATTATTTAGTTTTTCTGGCACTTAGTTGCCTTGCAGATGAACGGTCTTATTACTTTTTCCCCATGGACATTAATCTTGTTTTCCAACTAGATTATAAACTCACAAAGAGGCAAGGGCCATCTCTTCTCATTTCTTTTATCCCATACTGCCTTAACAAAAGTGCCAGGCCCAGTAGGTGGTGGGTCGTCACTGGCTGATTCATGGTGATCCAACAAATGATCCCTCTGCAGAGAACTTTGGTGCGTTTTAAGGTGGATAAGGAACCGTTTGATTCTTTTGATAATCTTCTTGGACAGCTATGGGTGGATTATTGTCCATTTGACAGGTGAAAACGATTGGAGGCTTATCCATGTAAAATTATTTATTCAGAAAATGAAACTCTCTCCAGGATCTTGATATAGGCTGGGTCTCCAAGACACCAGTACAGGGCTCTTTCAACCATGCACCAAGCATCCGGATAGAAAATGGATCAAGTCTTATGTCTGGAGCTCCTATTACGGTCAGGCAATAATAGTTAATCGATGAATGAGCCATATGGAAAAGCGTTCCTCATAGGGAAATCTCCCGTGCTGGTTCGGGCAAGAGAGATTCTCCATCCCTGGAGGAGCTTTGTGTCCCGGGCTGGATGGTTGGGTGTTTTTCCAGTGTGAAGTCAAGAAAATGGAGATGGTGAATCTAATGTGTCTCTCTGCTGTTTTCATGGTATTTTTCTTCATGTCTTATAGAGTCACTTTGTGGCATGTATGACAGCCATCCTAAACCAGATGGGTGACCAGCCACTACTCCTTCTATATTGAGACGTTCCAGACCAACTCTGAACTTGTGGTGAGTCTGCAGGGTGCTGGGGTTGGGAAGAACTCATGGTTTCTCAAGAGTTTAGGGCAAGAAGGTCCCCCCAAGGTATCGTGTGTGTGTGTGTGTGTGTGTGTGTGTGTGTTTCAGGTTACAGATGTGCATGTCTCATATCCTGTTTCTTGTATTTCTCACGTTTTCATTCCATGTCAGAGACAAGACCTGAATGTCTACCATATAATCTAGATGTGCTTAACCAATATTTGTTGATATTCACAGACATTTTGGAGCTTAAGAGCATGATTGATGGAGTCACACAGTCTTAGATTTGAATCCTCTCATAGGCCTCAGTTTCCCCATCTGTAAAGTGGGGATAATATCATGTATGTCACAGGGTTTAGAAGGGGTTACATGAGAGCACGGTAGTTCTCACATAGTAAGTGCTCAGTAAAAGATAGCTGTTTTTATATTAAGATCACAAATGCATAGAAGTTGGCCTCTGAGCCTGCTTCTTCCAGCTTCTAAGGACACATTTGCTACAGGACCGCCTGCCTGTGGCCTATAGTATGCAGCCTGTGGCTCCTGTCTCTGCAACAGATGACTTCCTCAACACAGACCCCACCCAGCCTGTTCCTGTCCTGGGCTTGTGGCAGAATACCCTTTGCCCTTGGCACGGTCACCTTTGTCACTGTCTCCTTACTACTGGCAGATTTAGGAGTCCTACTGCCTAGTTTCACTCTCAATGCTCCTTGGAGGGACCAAGGGCACCAGAATTGGACCAACCTCAGAGAGTGGCCCATGAAAAAGGAATCATTAGAAAGCCAATGCCCTGCACCTTCATCCACCCAACAGTAAGGTGTTTTCCCCACTGGAGTAAGATTGGCAAGACATGGAACCTTCCCACCCACCCCCAAGTTGTCCACGTCTCCGGACATGGAAACAGAAAAACTGGGTTCCTAATTTTCCGTTCTCTATGGAAGGAAAGGTTTCTGGGCAAGGAAGGCAGGAAAGGGAATTCTTGTTTGTTGAACAGACACATTTTCTTATGTAAGCCTCACAACAGTGGGACATAGGTGTTGGGAGTCATACTTTGCAAATCTGCAATCTGCTTGCTCAAAGCCCCATAGCTAGTAAGTGGCAGAGGTAGGATTTGAACCTTGGCACTAACCCTTACTTACATTGTGCTGCACCTCCTCCTTTAGAGCCATGTTTTCCATCTATGAGCGAGAGCATTCTCCATTCCCACGGGAAGGGAGTGTGCTGTGATGATAGCCACGGTTCCCCAGGTGACATCAAGGATGGGTAATAATGCTCAGCATTTTCATCATCAAGCATGTGACGAGCATTTATAAGGGCCAGGCTCTGTACTTGGCATCTGGGCACAGTACGCACCTAATCCTCACAGTAGTCCTTGGAGGTGGACATGGTCCCCATTCTGCTGACAGGAAACTGGGAGGGAGAGTATTGAGGCAATTTCCCCTAGAAACAAAGACTGCTGGAAAGGTACAAATGCCATTTCCAGAATTCTGCAATTCAGCTTAAAGCAGTGATTTTCAAATTATGTTCCTCATAGTGTCACTATCAGCCAACACACACACACACACACACACACACACACACACACACAGAATTCATCCAGAGCTGTTCTACTTTTACGTATTTTATATGTTGGGTTCTGGGTGAGATTTTATTTGGACAAAGTAATCGCTGTTAAGATAATTTGAGCACTATTGACTCCAGGAGAGAACTCTGAATGGGCTTCCTCCAGCTTTTAAATTTTACCTAAAGCATGCTGGTGGATGACTTCATTACCTCCAGCTCAGAAGGGTCCCACTGCCAGTGGTTCTGGTCTTAGCCGTCCAGATTTGTCTTTAATTTGTGTTCCCCAAAGATGGAGAACGAGTGTGGCCCACTGCAAAATCTGATGGAGTGTGTTGTGATCCACTCTGAACCTCTTCAACGGGGAGGAAAACGGTCTCTGTCATTGTGTTGCTTCAAATCTGTTTGCGAGAGTGCGTGCAATGTATGAATTAGCTGTGTTTACTGCACTGCTAATTAGATGTTCATTTTAATAATAGTTTGTTTGCTCAATGACCTAAGAGGCTTTCATACAGTGTCAATTATTTCCTTCTCAAATACATATTTGGGACGATGATTATAAAATTGCCACATCAATGAGCCCATTTACTTTTTTTATTCCCAAAGACAGAATTTATAGTGCCTTACTTTGAGAGTGTTTTAGCATCCCACATTCATACTCCACTGATATTTCTGAAACAGTCTCCCAGTAGCCAAATTTTAAGCTTCCATTTAAAATCCTCTGCTGTGGGTTTCGCTGAATTCAGTTAGTGAAGACCGTGCCCTCTCTCTTTGTCTTCCTCCAAAAAATAGTTAAGAAAAAACATGTAAAGGGCCAACAAGCTCTGAGCACTTCCAGTCAGCTGCTATGAGACAGGGTGACAGGCATGTTGCTCTTGACTGTTTCAGGACTTCTTGATGGAGACCTTCATCATGTTCAAGGACCTCATTGGCAAGAACGTGTACCCTGTAGACTGGATGGCGATGAGCATGGTTCAGAACAGGTGAGCCGCCGCCCCTCCAAAAAGCCACCTCGCCCCGTGGTCACTTTGAAGATCACTGGTAGAGATGAGGCAGAGATGGTTTCTCCTTGGTAACAAGAAATTAAAGTGTTAACACATCCTTTCTGTGTACTTTTAAACCCAGGGAAGAGCTCCTCACCAATCCTGAAGCTACTCAAAAAGTCCTCCCAACCCTCTCCATGCTTTCAGTCTTGGTTAGGGTATCATACTTTGTGTCTGTGGCTTCCTTAAACCCTCAATGTACCCCCATAATATGCCAAAATAAAAAAAAACCTCAGGACAGGAGGGCTTAGGCAAGCATTTTTTAAAATTATAGTATTTTTAAGTGTATTTTAAAAATTAAAATATTAATATATTTTATGACATATGGTAAAAGAAGTTTAGCAGGCATTGGATTAAACAGCTTTGAATGGGTTTCTCTGCTGCAGGACTTCTCAGAGCTTTTAATATGCTAGCCTGATCTTTCCAAGAGAAGGATTTAGGATACAGCATTTCGCAGATTTATTTGCCCACGGAACCATATGGTGTGCATTTGCTGCATCTTTGTGTGTATATATGATACCTATTAACATCTCATAGACCATCAGTGTAACCCAAGCAAGACTTAGATCCCACGTGGCCCAGCAGAATGTGAGATAAAAGTGATTATAAACAATTTCAGTCTTCAGATCGGAAGACGTCAGATTCAGTCTTCTAGATCTCTAACATCATCTCACCAAAGTGAAATCCAAGTCATAATACTCATTAATATTTTCAAACATTCCCTTTCTCCATTCCTCTGGCTTTCACTATCTCTCACACAGCGGTTTCCCCAGGCTTCTCTCAGAACCTTATTCTAGAATGCTGTCCATACGTTCCTTCACAACAGCAATCCTTGGCCTCTCTCTCTCCTTCCTCTCCCCTTTTCTTATGGCTTCTTACATTTGTTTTAGGTCTTTTCCATGGACAGCCTTGCACCTCATACTGGCTTCTAGTTTTATCTCCCTTTACCTACTGCCCTTGTTTTATACAAAAAAGCCCAGCATTGGCTGGCAAAGACAGAAATACTTTTAGAAGGGCGAATAAGGGCAGAAGCTGCAAAGGTGAAAAACAGAATTCTCTTAAGTAGAAGGAAAGAGGGAAGACTATAAACATTTGTATATTAATAGTTGTGTTACTGGATGCAGTCTGAGAACTTCTACCTCATGTACGTCCAAGAGCTGACTCTAATCCCAGACAACCTCCGACCTTCCCTTCCGGTCTTCTGAGAAGCTGTCCTTGCTTTGCCTGGATGCCCCAGTGCCCAGCCATGTGACCATACGGACACACTTGGCCACAGTGTGCTTGGGGCCAACTTTAGGGCTTGGTGGAGGGAGGAGGGGTTTGTCCAGGCAGAAGGAAGTAGCTGCCTGTGCATCTCTGCTTACGGCGGGAAGAGGAAAGTCAACTGAGCCGCACGGCGTCCGGGAGCGTGCCCAGCCTGGGGTGGCTTGCCCAGCTCTCCCTGTTCACACCACGCAGGTAGGAAGCTGGCCTTCGCAATGATGGAGTGCTGGTGGGAAGAGGCCCAGGCCACACGATGGGTCAGAGGCTGGTCCCTCCCTAGCTCTGTCTGGACCAGCTTCCTGGACATGAGACATGAGCAGTTGCATCTGACCCCACACTCTGAAGGGCCCCATGCTCGGTTTAATGTTCTGGAACCATCATCTTGTAGTTCTTGATAATATTTGAACAGGGGAACTCACACTTTCATTTTGTACTGAGCCCTACAAACTGTGTAGCTGGTCATCCTTCTGTCCGTGCTCAGTCGTGTCGAGTTGAGGTCGAGGCCACCTCTTACCCTGCGTGGGGCCCCTTCACTGTTTTCCAGCTGGTCAGTGACATCGTGGGGTTTGCCAAATCACATGAAGCACCTGGGAGATGCAGCAGTGGTCATTGTCTTCTCACCCTGCATTCCAGATACACTCGGCTTCTCAGCATTGCCTACTTGTCCATACTTCTGTGACTTTGCATACGCTATGGCTCTGCCCGCATGTCTCTCTTCCCTTCTAGACCAGAGTCAAGGTGAAAGCAGCCTTCACATTCTTGACCACGTAATCCTTTCTGGCCCTTTGTGAATCCCTCTAGGACTCTCGGGCACTTCCTATGCTTCCTATAATCATCTCTTCATATGACTGTCCCTCCATTAGGGAATGGGCTTCTTGAGGGCAGGCAAGCACTAAGTGTAATTTATCTCATGCTTCCAACTCCTGGTACACACCCTGATATTCATGAACATGTACAGTGAACTCTGTATATCCAAAGGTACTTATTGATTAGGATTTTTAAAGAAATATAATTCAAAGTTGCCTAAGCAAAAAGAAGAATCTATTGGCTCAGATAGCGGAAGGAACTCAGAGGTATGGCTTCAGGCATGGCTATATCTGGGTGCTTAAATAGTGATGTGGGGAATCTGGTTCTCTGTCTGTGCTTTTTCTCCTGTTGGCTTCATTCTCAGGCAGATGCTCTCTTTATAGTGGGGAAAATGGGCTCTAGAAGTTGCAGATATCTGTCTTGTTGGATTTGTAACCCCAATAGAAAGAAAAAGCTTTTATTTAATAGGTGCAACAAATGTCCCCAGGCTTGTCTTCAAAGGCCTGGTGTGGGCTACATGTCCATCCATAAACTTCTGTGGCTGGCAGAATAAAATTAGGCTTGGATTTCATGACCCACCTTTGGTACTAGGTCAGGTCTACCCAAACCACAAAGTCTGGTAGCATGGGGGGAGGAAAAGAGATTAGTTCTCCAAAAGAAAATCTAGCAGTTGTTACCAGAAAGTGGAATAACTGATGGGCAGGCAAGTTTGCAGACAGCCACCGCTGACACAGGGTCAGGTGATGGGAGCCCTGGCCGGGCAAGCGTTCTCCTCTGTGCTGTCTGCATGGTCATTCTGGAAGAAATGTGCTGATCCTCGTGGGGGTGCTTTGGAGGAATGTCCCCTGCTGAAATCCCAGCTTGCATGGACTGTAGCCATTTTGGGGACAGGCCCTCAGAGATGCTACAGTAATCCTTGTTCATACCTAGGAAATTAGAACACAATTTTTTAAGGGACCTAAGATAGTGGAATTGAATTTTTCTAAATAGAAAAATTTATATCAATGAAGGATGAATGGAGTACTTATGTTACCTTTAAAAAAAAGAAAAGAAAAGTTAGACTCAAGAACATAGCCTAGGCTTCAGACTCCTTCATTCTGTCACTTTCCATTTCTTGGGAGGTCATTTAACCTCTTGGAGTGTCATTTTCCTAGTCCTTAAAATGGGGACGGTGATAGTCTCTATTTCGTGAGAATTTCTTTCTGTGTGTGAGGATAGAGTGGCATTCCTTAGCACAGTGCCTGGTATCTAGGAAGAACTCAATGCAAGATAGTATTGTCATAGGTAGGTGATGACAACAAACTTAGCCTTGGACTAGAGAAGCATGTGATAATGTCAACCAGAAAAGGTGACTATTCTCCTGCCAGGCACATAGCTTAGTTTGTAGACTTCCTTCAGCTTCTAGCCACAGTGACCCCATATATTTATAAAGCACTTGAAATTTGTTCTCTGTTTTTGCATTTTGTGTGGTATTATAATAGCTAACATTTACTAAGCACCTAGATCCATCACTGTTGTAAATGTTTTTACATGTGTTAGCTCATTTAATCCTCCCTGCAACTTTACAATGTAGAACTATTATAATCAGCATTTTATATGAGGAAGCTGAGGCATAGAATAGGTGAGTGATGTACTCAGTGTTGCATTGCTAATAAGAAACAGAAGCCATTCTATAGGCGCTCATGTCCTTAACCTCCACTGCTTCGCTCAGTAGAATAATGAGGCTTATATTAGTAAGTGCTTTGTACGAATATGCAAACTGAAGCCCAGGAAGGTACAACAACTTGCCAAGGTCAAGCAGCTAGTTAGTGGAAGATTTCAACCCAATTTGGACAAACAGAACATGTCCCGTGACTTAGCCAAAACCAGTATTCCCCAGAACATCCTTTTCTCTACTCCAAAAATATGCAACTCTTTCATGTGACCAAGGCCAACGTCACTTGTCAATAAGTCTGGACATTCCATTAACTTTCTTTCCTTCTTTCTTTTCCTTTTTCCTTCCTCATTCTTTCTTTTTTCTTTATTTCCCTCTTTTTCTTTTGCTTTCCCCTATTATCTGTATGGTATTGTGATGTACCTATTTTTACAATTTTTCTGTTATCACTTATCATGTATGTATCAGTCATCCATTACGTATGTATTTATCTGTTCGTTGGAAAAGGGAGTGGCGCTCCCCAGATCTGAATGTCTCTCCAGCTGTGCACTGTTTGTGCATGCAGACAGAGTGACACGTCAACTGCGAGAAATACTTCCTGTCAGGGCGTTTTTCTTTTTGGTAAGATGCAACACTTAGTAAGATCTCATTTACATGATGTTGTTAATTTTTAAATGATCAAGTTCTTTACAGTGTTGTAAATTAACAAGATTGTGCCTGGGAGCCTCATTTTCCCCTCTTCAGTCTGCACCTTGATCTGGAAATCCAGCATTTTGAGGGAGCTTGGGGATTCACACCCATCCCTAAAGCTCCCCTCTTGCAGTCAACCAGCGCATGTTCATTGACTGCCGTGGGCGTCCAGGGCTCTAGAAGATGGACAGGCCCATTTAAACTCTAGTCCCAGAAGGCAGAGGGCTTCCAGGGTGGCTGGGGAGATAATAAATGTTCCCATGGAAATAGGACCAAGTGCTACAGTCACTAGCATGAGTTCAGAGCCCAGAGAGAGCTCAGAGGCAGCACAGAGAAGTTAAGACTTAAGATTGCCTGGGTTCAAATCCCATCTTCACCATTCCTTAATTTTATGACCTGGGGCAAGTCACTTAACCACTCTGGACTCGGTTTTCCTCCCTGTAAAATAGGACTAATCCTAGTACCTATCACAAAGGATAAAATGAAATAATATGCATAAGGTAGTTAGAGCAGTGTGTGGCACATG